GTTGCTGGATCAGCCTAAAACCATGACAGATGTCCAGACAGTGTTTAGAAAGCAATAGTCACAAAGCACCAGATCATGTTGATGCTTCATATTTTCACCTATATCTAATTTCAACAAATTTACATTCCTTTTATACCTGTAAATCCAGTTCAGAATGCTTATAAATAAGTTTATTGTAAATACTCTTAAATCAATGTAATTTTGCTTGCTCGCTTAGGGGATTGAACTATTTTAATACTGTTTATAAACTGACGCTGTTAAAATGGCAAAAGAAGCATGAATGAAGTAAGCTCCAAACTTTAATTTTAATATTTAAGGCATTGCAAGCAATAACTGTACTTTGAGATGCCCCAAGTATCACAGCACTATTAAGGCCATTTTCTGAAGTTTGCATCCCATCTAAGATTTTGAGAGCAATAAAAAAAGAAAATCCCCACAGACACACAGCAAAAAAACACCTACCCTTCTCACTGTCACTGAAAAGCCTTTTCCACAGGCCATACAATTCTGTACCTCATTGTCTTCTGCCCATTTCCTGTTGAGGGCTTGAGTGTGTTTGATCTATATAGAAGATACAAAAAAAGGTATTTTTTTTAAACTCATGTCTAATTCTACTGATTTTCTCTGTTTTCACTGCACACACTACCCAGTGCCATACAAAAGCACCAACTCTGCCATAATACTGAGAGCCTATATTTGTTCAGAGGGAAATATTCCAAGTTTCAAAACTATGAGCAGATTTAAGAACCCACAGACAGCAATACAGCCCTCATACACCACAAGCATAACGTCTTAATCACTCTAGAAAGGTAACCCACCACGAATTTGACACAAACTTGAATTCTCCTAAGTTCTCATACAGAGAATCAACAGGTTTAATTGCTCCACATCAAATTATACCTGTAATGACTGGTTTTCTCGGCCAAGTTCCTGCATTGCAGCAGTAGTGTTGTCCAGCTTTTTCTTCATTTCTACAAGTTTGGCTTGAAGCTTTTCAATTTCTCCCTCACTTTTTATACACCTGAGGAAAAACAGTAAATAGTCAGCTCAAAGCATATGAGGCAACGTACACTGCCTCCTTTGGGCAGGTTGTCACGACTGAGAAGTTACTCTCCTAAAATTCAGTCAAAAATATCCTTACTGTGAAAAGTTCTTGGATGGAAAAGACTGGAAAAATGTTCTGTTGTAGCAATCAGTTGAAAATCATCTGGCATTGCACCCAAATACCTGTGGCTTATTAATATCTGGAGTTATTCCCAAAACCAGGGACAGTACTGAATGCAGTTCATCTATAGCAAGCCCTGCTAAGTACTCCTGTGCAACAGGACACTCTCACAAACCAGCTGCAGTAGATCAAGTCAGATAACAGAGCAGAAAAGAAACCTTCTTCTTTTAGCAAGGCCACCTTCCATCAGCTGAAATTCAGTTAACTGTCGAAAGCCAAATTTCAGAGGGTGTTTTTCTGCCAAGCTGTAAACAGCTACTGGCTGAGTTCAGCACAGTATGGCAAGGGATTGCCAAAGAAAGAGAGTCTCACTTGAATTGATCCCATCCTTTCCCAAGGTCTACTGCTCAAAAACTAAATCAGCAAGCTTGACAGTATCAGAAAAAGTTTTCCACTCTGCCTACAGCAAACATATCAGGAAATAAGGATGAAAAAATTTTCCTGTCTCACAGGTGATTCTTCTACCCTTGTAACGGCTGCGTTCAGGTAACTCCCGCTGCCTTGCACGCCTCCTGCTGCCTGAAGGAAAGGCGCTCTGCTTACCTAAGTCTTAAACATTCTGTAGAAGCAACAGCAGAACTGGAGAAAAGAAGACTGTAGGTTTTCAGAAGGAAGAAAATGACTCTTGTGTAAACATTAGTCTATCTAATACAATCACACATTCAACAGTGAGCAGTAGGCATAGCTACAAGTCCCTAAGCAAATTCTATGTTACTAGAGGCACTAAGGCGCCTGTTCCAGGCTTCGGGATGACTAGGGCATCTACTCTGATTGAGTCAAGGCAGGGGAGCCTCAGAGTTATGGACAAAGGTAGTTAACTCAGGTAAGAGAAGCTTCCTCTGCCAGGCCTTGCAACAGTCACACAACAGAGGAGATAAGAAGCCACAACCTACACACCTCAAAGTTCAGAGGAGCCCAATGGATTTGGAAGGCTCTTAATGGACAAGCATAAATTTTCAGGTATAAGCACAGAGCTGTGGCTTTGGTGATAAATAAAGTCCTGATAAGCCTGTCTGATTTTCTACAAAACGGTCACCCTGTCAAAGCCCACAAAGAGCACAGTTTGTTCCCAACACCACTTGCTGTGCTTTGGCAGGGACAACAGAAGGTCACACACTCTGGAAACTGCACCCACAGTCCAGGCACTAAGACAAACACGGATTTAAATAACGCATGCATAAAGAAGCCTGAATCAACTGAAACAAGTTTTCAGCGTGAGGTTATCCATTTCCCAAACTATGCTTCCACATCGTCATGATCACAGCTTACCTCTCCAGCAAGGCTCTTCTCTCATCCTGATTATTCTGCACTGTTGCTTCCAAGACGGCAATGTCCCCACGTAAATCATCCGTCTGTTTCTCCAGCTCGCTCACTCGCCTCTGACTGCTTTGCCACTCTTTCTTCATGGTAGCCAGGTTCTCATTCAGAGCTGTGACCTGCATAGTGAGCTTGGTCTCCTTTTCCTCATGTTTCCGTTTTTCTTCTTCTCTCTCTTTTTCCTCTGTGTGCTAAGAAAACAATTGAACAATGAAAAACAACTGTCCAAGTATTTTTTCCCTAATCCCTACATTTAATTGAGGCAAAGAATCTTACTGTACTAGAATCCCTACTTTTAATCAACAAACCCT